AGTAGTCGTAGTAGTCGTAGTAGTAGTACGTAGTAGTCGTAGTCGTAGCCGTCGTAGTAATAGTAGTAGTAGTAGTAGTAGTAGTAGTAGTAGTAGTAGTAGTAGTAGTAGTAGTAGTAGTAGTAGTAGTAGTAGTAGTAGTAGTAGTAGTAGTAGTAGTAGTAGTAGTAGTAGTCGTAGTCGTAGTCGTAGTCGTAGTCGTAGGCGTAGTCGTAGTCGTAGTAGTAGTAGTAGTAGTAGTAGTAGTAGTAGTAGTAGTAGTCGTAGTAGTAGTAGTAGTAGTAGCAGTAGTAGTAGTAGTAGTAGTAGTAGTAGTAGTCGTCGGCGTTCGTGGGCGGGGGAGCTGTTTATTCCGGAGCGATCTGGCGATCGAAAGGCCGCCGGTCGTTCGAGGCTGAACGGTCCACGCGGTGTGAGGAGCCAAAGCCGGGGTCGTCACGACATGAACCTGTCGTACAGTCAAGACGCTGAAACAAGGGCCACCTTGGGCTCAGGCGGGGCCTATGTGATGGGAGCCCCTCGAGCGCCACGCGAAGGCAATGGGCTGGGCACCCCATGGCTAGCTCGGGCCCAGATGGGCACGATGCCTTGGGCCACCCGTGCTTGAGTGAAGGAGGAGGAGGAGGAAGAGGAGGAGGAGCTCCATCTTTCGGCCCGCTCTTGCGATCCAGATGGGGGAACCCACTCTTCGCCGAGGCTCTCCGAGGGGGGCAGAGACGCTATTTCTCGCTCCTTCATACTCGGCATTCCCTTGAGGTGGCGCGGTGTTGGTACCCAGACCGCGAGGGCACGGACACGGACGTGCCCGCCCCCCGAGATCCGCCGTTGCGACAGAAGTGGCAACACCGCGAGAAGTCACGACCAGAGCCCCCGGCCCCAACCTTTCTGCGGCACTCTTCGAGCCGGATCGATCCGTGACGGCCTTGGCTGGGGCCCGAGACTGGCCGAACCTGCCTGGCGTCAGCAGAGCTGCCGCACCCGGATCTCAGGGTGCCCGTCGCTCTGCGATCACGAGCGGAGAGCCAGCACCCACACCTATGCGACCTCTCGATTTCTCGGGGTGGAATCCCGTGCGGGCTATGGGTGTGTGCTGGCGGATGGGGGTCGCCGCTTGGACGGCGTCCACCCACACACAAGCTTGAATGATGCACACTGCAACTTCATAACAGTGCACATATGTGAAAATGCTTCCTTTCTTCCTCCTCTCCCTCTCTCCTCCCTGCAAGTCTTCTCTCTTCTGCCTCTACCTCCTCTTCCTCCTATACCGCCGCCCTCCCTCAACCTCTCCCTCTGACTCCTCACCTCCTCTACCTCCTCGTCCTGCCCTCAGCCCCCCGGGATCCGACAGCTCGCACCCGTACCGCGCCTTCATCGCTTTGCCCCTCTCCATTCCTCCTTCCAGTACAGTAGGGGTCTTGAAGAAGGAACCCCTTTCGATGGGGAGGCGCTCCGTGTTCCCTGACTGTCTCGCAGCTTGCCTTAGGTTGTCCCTTGGTCTTCGATGGGGGATCGAAGCTTAACTCATGGAAAGAGGGGCCTCGTTCCTTATCTAAGGTTCCTTAGGTCAACACCCCGACTGTAGGTTTGGGCGCCCGCGGCATGTGCTGTTGCCCTTGCTGCCGCTCTCCGCGTGATGGGTCATCGTCCTCGTCCCCCATGGGGAGTGGGAGGAGGGCGAACGGAGACGGGGTGCAGCTTCGACCTGTTCTTGACCCCTCTCCACTTGTGGAGGACGCTCGGGAGAGCAGTCCGGGGTTGTCTCGCGCACACTTTGGCGTCACCATTGGGCGTGTTGTTCCCGCACCGCCGCGGAGCGCCGAGACGCGCGGAGACCCCCGCGAAGCCTTGCGGATCGGCCGCCGCACGCCGCCGCTGCCACCCGCCTGCGCACAGGCCGAGGGCCGACCCCTATCCGGTGCTGCCTCGCGGCGTGCCGTCGCCCCGTCTCTGCCCCGTCCTGGGGAAGGAGTCGGGGGGAGGAGGAGGAGGAGGAGGAGGAGGAGGAGGAGGGGGAGGAGGAGGAGGCGGAGGAGGAGGAGGAGGAGGAGGAGGAGGAGGGGGAGGCGGAGGAGGAGGATGGGGGAGGATGAGGAT